TTTCGGGCAAAATTAAAAAAACTAGCCGTTTTCGGGCAAATCGGGCAATTCGGGCAATTCGGGCAACTCGGGCAACTTGGGTTTTCGGGCCGAATTCGGGTAAAAATTCAAAAACCTAGCCGTTTTCGGGTATTCGGGTAATTCGGGCACCTCGGGTGGGTCGGGCAAGTCGGGCAGGCGGGAAAAATTCGGACAAAATTCAAAAATTCGGGCTTCGGGTCGGGCAATTCGGGCACACCCAATTTCGGGCAATTTTCGGGTCGGGCAGTTCGGGCTTGGTCGGAAAAATGCAAAAAAATCCCGGCGGACGGCGGTATACGGTGGTTAGACGGCGGCGGGCAAGGGTGGACATGTCAAATCCGGGCTGCCCGAGCCCGAACCCGAATTTCTTGCTTGGACGGGCGGGAATTGGGCCGGCCCGCCCGAGCCCGAAAAAATTCGGGCTTCGGGCGGCCCGCCGACCCGAAGTTCCAGCACTAGGTACAAGGTGGCTTTTTGTGCTGCCCACGGAAAAAAAAAAAGTGTTAACCCCATGACTCTTTTCTATAACCGTTTCAGTGGGATTTACAAGTTCCAAAAATTGGCTATGGTATCATTTTCGTTCATCAAACATACAAATATTCTGATCCGGCAGTAATAACTAAAAAAGGCTAGTTTGTTTTGTTTGTTTGTTTTTATTTTTTAATTTAAAATTTAAGCGGTGGGGACTTAAATTCTACATGTATATCACAATATTATCAAAATTACGCTCATATCTCTGACTTTTACTCAAACATCAAGAGGAGACAAGATATTTAGGGGCTAGAAAGAGAATTTGAGGGATGAACAATATCAAGACGAGGAAAGAACCATGAGAGATACAAATAGATCACAAGTGATAGAATTAAAAGGAGAACGCGAGAGCTAAAGAGTAGAGAAACTAAAAACTCAATATTCATTATTAATCATCAAATTGTTTAAACAAAATTACAATGGCTAATTTATTTGTAGAGATTTAAAAGATAAAGTTAACTAATTTAAAAAGTAATCATACGAGATAAACGTGATCCTAACTCAAAATCAAATATCAAAAATAAATTATCCTAATTAATAATTATAAAATCCAAATTCAAAATTTAATCTAGCGGCTCCGTATCATTAACATTTGTTTTACAGGTTCTGGCCTCTATAGCTGTTGCAGGTGTTCAAGCTTCGGCACCCATAATCACTGGCCTTGCTTACAAGTAAAATGTTAAATTTCGACATTTACAATTGGTAATTTTAGGCAGTTGTGCATTTGTTTAGGGAAAAAAAAAACAAAAAAAAAAAAAAAAACTTGCAGAGTACTTATCCATAAATCTCAGATTTGCATAGGAAAAAACGATATTAAATCCTACAATAAAATGGCAAAAAAAAAAAAAAAACTGCAAAAAGATTAATCCGGACATTAAAAGATGACAATCAATCTTTTTTTAAATAGTTTATGTTGGAGTAAAATTTCGTAAAACACTTATCCAACATCTCTAAATTAATAATTCGAATTGAATAAACAAATTATCTAAGGAAATTGGAAGACCACTCGAAGAACACAAAGAACCTTCGAAGGAGTAACAAAAACAAAAAAAATGAAGACAATCACAAGGCAATTGTATTTAGAAATGAGTGTCCATCTTGTCATCTCAAATTGAGGGAATTTATAGTACATTCGGATTAAGGGAGTTTAATTCTCCAATTAATTCGAGAGTTTATTCTCTCTTAATTACAATGAGGCTCTTCACCTTTTTATGAGTTAAAACTGATAAATAATCAATGAGAATTAATTTTTAATCACTCAATGTTTTCAATTAGCGTCGGTTACTTCACTTGATGACATCACACGACTTTTGAACTTTCAGCTCAAGAGCACTTGGGCTCTGGCGAGTTTGGGCTTAAGAGAGTTTGGCCTCCGGCAAGCTTAGGCTTAGGGGAGGTTGACCTCAGATGAGATTGGCCTTAGGCGAGCCTGGGCTCAGGAGAGCTTGGGCTCCAGCGAATTTAGGCTCTGGGAAACTTGGACTCTAACAAGCTTGGGCTCGGGAGAGTTTGGGCTCCGGCGAATTTGGGTTCGGGAGAGCTTGAGCTCCAATGAGATTGGCCTCAAGCGAGCTTGAGCTCCGATGAGCCTTTGAATTTATTGCGCATGATTCCGGAAAGGCCGATAAACAATTTATATTAAGGATATATATATATATATATATAAATATAATCATAGTTGGTGTCATTTTCTTATCTTATTTTCCATGCACCTTCATCAATCATCACCATCTCCACACTTTGGAGGTGTCACTGATTTGATGACATATTCTTTGAGTTGGTGTGGCGCCAAATCATGGGGATATTGTAGGAAAATTGTTTTGTTTGACTGATTCTTTTTCATAACTTTGTTTACTTCTAATTTATGTTATCTTAACTTGGATTAGATAGATAGATAGATATATATATATATATATATATATATATATATATAGACACACTCACACACACTTGATTTCAAAGAAAGAGGTTGCGCTATTATTGATTGGTGTTTGATTCTCGGGAAAATGGTACACCTGTCTGTGGAAATCCCAGCTGTGTGTTTTGCGTTGGGAAAGTCCCTTTCAGATTCTAGTCGAATTTTTATTTGGATGAGTACTATTGTCAACTAAACCTTCACACACGTCAACCATTAAGGTCCCATTTAATTCACTAATTTGATTTTAGAATTTAAGTTTTGATATAGTAAAAATTTTTCAAAAATAGTCACATCAAACTTTTAGGCTACAGTAAAAAACTCTCAAATAAAATCACATCTCAACTCAAATTAAAAACTCAAATCAACGAACTAAACGGACCCTAAAAAATTGAGATATCACAATAATGATGTCTACAATCCATGATATCAAATCTTGATGTTACATTTTTTTTTTTGTTTTTTGTCCCAACTTTAGTTACATTTTCAAGATGTGAGTAGAGAATATGGAAATTGGACAAAGCCCTTGGTTTTGCTATAAAAGCTAGTGTAACGTTCTATATCATTACATTAGGCATTTGGGTGGATTATATCATATTACATGCCTTAGCAAATGAGGCACCAATTCTGGTTTTGACTTCTTAAATAGAATATCTTTTCTTTTTATGTTTCAAAGAAAAAAATGTCCTCGTGTTTAATCTCTTTTGGCATTTAAATCGGTTCAAGCAACTTGCAACTGCCTATACAAGCACCTATCGAGAGAAAAGGCAATAAGCAAATGTTAAGTGCGTGTAAACGTTAAGTCGTGTTTGGCTCATGGGTTTAGACTCATGCTAGTTAATTTTAATCACGTTGTCATTTAAATAAATTCATATTGCGTTTGGATTGAACAAATCCAATTTGATCCCTCTAAAAATGGAATTCCTCTTTTTAGTTTGGCGGTTTGAACCCTTCAACTACAAGGAAAAAAAAACATATTTTTCAATTTAATTGGCATGGTGAGATTTTAAATTTTCTCCTTCAATCCTAAGAAAAAGGTTCAGGTTGAAACGTTTTAAAATTATTAGGCGAATTGTCGTCTTAGGGCTTGTTCAGTTACATTTTTAAGTTATGGTGATTTGAGTGTAGATTTTGAGTTAAATTTGAATTATAATTTGAGTTGAAGTTGTGACTTGAGTATTGTGTTTAGTTGTGTACATTTGAGTTATGATTTAAGATGAGAATCTTTTTGAGTTTGTGTTAGAATGGGTCAAAACTTGAGTTTGTATTTATATATACGGGTGAGATTTTATTCATCTCTTCGTTGTGAATGCATAAAAAAAAAAGAATCATCTCAATCGGAATTAAAACAAAAAACTTATAGTGTTTTTAATAATAGAAAAAATAATGTTCATTAACTTGAGTTTGAGTTTAGGAACTTGAGTTGAAAGAGAAACTTGAACTCAGATTTTAACCCCAAACTCAAGTTAAAATTCAAGTTAAAACTCAAGTTTGAACTTAAATTTTACAAAAGAACATGAACTTAAATAAAATTATAATTTGAGTTCAAACTTTTTTTAAATTTAAGAGTGAACGAAAAGCTTTTAATTTTTAATTTCTGAAGTAAGAGTTTGACTTGTTCCACGGTCCACTGCGATAATTGGATAATATATATTAAAAAAAAACACAATTAGTATCAGTTTATCCAAATTAATTAAAAGTGCTGGCTAGAAGCCTAGAACAATTTACCAAAGACCCGTACTAAGAGCATCTCTCGGACAAGATGGTATGCAAATTTTGAACTAAAAACTCAAAGAAGAATACCAAAGTTTGAAATCAAATTGGAAATGATCACTTATATGTTTGCATAATGTAAATAATTCATCAATTCAAAAGCAGGAAGAAAAGGGAAGAAAAATTATAACGCTATCACATGATCATATATGATTATGAATCTATAATCACACAGAAGTTTGAGACACCTTCCCAATGACCACCTTGCCCTCCAAAGCCATTCCACCACTTGGCCTTCTGTCGGGGACTACCGCCACGGCCGCAGCCAAAGGCGGGAATGTCTGTGGCAACATCAGTGCCGGTGGCGGCACTGTGGCGGCTACCACCACTCCTCCCGGTCCAGTATAGTATACCTGCCTGCTCATCGCACTATCATACGCCATCGGAGCATACGAAGCAGTCCCGGTAGCGGCACCAAAGCCGCCGATATGCCGCACAACCCCCAGGCCTTCCGGGTACATGGCGCCAGTGGCTGCAATTTTCGCCACTTGAGGTGGAAAATTCGGCGGCGCCGCCGAGAGTGGCGGAGTATTAAAATTAATATTAGCAGGTGCCGCTGAGAGAGATGGAATATTCAGCGGAGGCACGGTGGTGATAGGCGGTGGGGCTACAGATAGTGGTGAGGCGGAGAGCGGCAATTGCTGCGGCGGCAGGACGTTGTACAACGGCGGTTCACGGTAAACTTCGGGAGCTGACCGCTGCGGCTGGGGGCCATACACCGGAGCAGCCGCGCAGGTTACCGGCAGCACCACCGGTGGATGAAAGACGGCAGCTCCACCGGCAGAGGCCGGGAGCACGTAAACTGGCGGCTCCAGTGCCGAGGAAAGCGACGCCACCGGCGTCGGAAATCCGACGCTTGAGACCTGCTTATCCGGCCAGTATCCCAACGGAACGGAAACCAGAGGAGGAGGAACGGTTGCCAAAGAAGCCGGAAGCTTCTCGGGAGCCACTTTCGGCCCGTAGTAATCTCCGGCGTAGCCTCCAACGACAGCATCAGTCAGGTTAACCGCCTTACTAACGACCGGTAGAACAGCCGGAAACGTCGCGGGAAGCTGCAGTGGAGGAGGAGGATGCGGAGGTGGCGGCGGCGGCGCGACGACCTTGTCGAGACCGAAAAGAAATTCGGCTTTATTCGTCACCACCGGAGGGTTGATCACGTGGTCCGGCCCCATCATCGGAGCCGAATTCAAAGCCTCAACGAACTGTTCAGGATCGGGCCGTGAACCATCCGACCCGTAACTCCCTCTCAAATTAACCGCCGCGGGAAATAGAAAGAGCCTCATCCTGGCGGACTTGGCCGTGGTCCGGTACATGCGGTCGTACTCGTGCATCATGTGGTCGAGATCGTCGTCGTTGGTGACGGAGATCAGAGCGTCGAGATCTTCTCCGGGGAGCTGGTACTTGAACGAGACGTCGTCCCCGCAGTAGAGGGCGGAGAGCTTGGCGATCATGGCGGGGAAATTGATGGAGCGATCGACGGCGAGGATCTTGGTCTCGCCGCCGACGTAGGAGAGATGGTTGTCGTGGGGACGGGGGAGGATCTTGCCACCATAGCTGCACATGAACTTGGCCTTGTAGTTTTGAGAGAGGTGGTGAGGCTGGTCCTCCCATGGCGGAGGGTTCTCGAACTCGATCTCTCGCGAACGAGGCGAGGAGTCGCCGGAGTCAGGGTAGGAGCCGTAAGAGTAGTTTTCCATGGGCTTGTTTGGTTTCCGAGAAAGTAGGGGAGAATGAAGAGGAAAAGAGAAGGAGAATAAGAAAAAAAGAAGTGTTAGTAATGTACCACTGTTATTAGTCAGAAAGAGCGAGAGAGATGAGAGGGACATAGAAATGTAGATCTTTTTATTAGTTTGGAAAAGTTGTACTTGTGTTGTGGGGAGTGTAATGGTCACCGGGGGATTTACGGGGTGTGGGGTATTTTATACACGTGGCAATATTAAAGTGGTGTTACGTGGAGTGCAGGATTGGATCTTGGGTGACGCTGGACTTTTGGGGGGTGGAGAGGGAAGCCAGAGGTGGTGGTAGGGGCCACTTGGCATTTACTGAGAGAGGAGAGAGAGAGAGAGAGAGAGAGATATGTTTGGATAGAGAACCAAAAGAATATCTATTGTTTTTGAACGGACGCATCTTTAGAAACGATTTGATGTGGTTTTTCACCAGATGTAATGCTTGGATACTTTTCTTTCCCAAAGATTTTTTAATATCATTGAGTTATATAATAAAAAGTATGTAATTAAACAACTAATTATTATGTTACTGTTATTTAATTATATCATTGTGATTTTTATTATCCCAAGAATTGTTATCCAATAGGAGAGGGTGAATTGGGTTTTTTAAATTTTTTGAAAATCAATCAATAATTATTGCAAGGTTAGCTCTAATCATAAACAAGTAATAAGACTAGATGATCAAGGTAGAATTAAATAAGTGATCAATAAAAAATGAGATATTTACAAAATGTAAGAGCAACTCTATAAATCAATATCAAAAGGTATACAATTTATCACAAGTAGTAAATAGAGGAGATAAGGTTAGAGAGAGTGTAAACACTATTTTGTAGTGGTTTGGTTATAATTCTACATTCACTGTTACCGAGCAAATCACAACTTAGTCACTTTTACTATCTCAATCGACTTTCGGCCCGATCATACTAAGTATAAAAATAGTGAATTTGTTATCACAAGAGGAAAAATGAATCTTGGGTTGTTTAGTAAGGATGAAATGAAGAAAGAAAGTTGTAAAATACTTGGGGCCTACCATTTTCCTATCCTTCTAACTTTGAAAATTAAGAAAAGTCAGGGGGAAAAAATTTAACAAGCTAGTGATATGTAAATTAACTATTTTGACCTTAAACCATTCAACATATTTTTATTTGTGTAATGACATTGTTGTAAAATACACTAAATTTGACATTTTCTTTCTCTTATACTAAACAATATAAAAGAAAATCCTCCTTCTACCATGTTACTTCCTTCACTTAGGTACTTTATTTATCATTCTTTTCTATTTTCCATCTCTCTTACCAAACATGGCATTAATTAAAGCGATAAAGAGGTGGAAGTCAGGGAGAGATATGGTAGCAGAGACAATGTGTTTGAGAGAAAAAAGAGGGCACTTTTGGTATTCTATTAATGTATAAATTACATTTATCAAAATTATATTATTTATTAATCTTCTTAAAACTTTATGCTATTTATTTTTATTGATATTGCAATTTCCCTCCTTGTCCCTAAGTTCTTTGTTCTTTAAGGGCCCATCTGGTGAGCAGGATATGACAACATTAAATAGGATAGTTTCAGAGGGATTAGAATAGAATGTATAGAAAAGGATAGTGATAAATTTTAGTTTAATCCGATGCTATATTTGTTGTTGTGTTTTAGGATAAGAGTCTTTTTAGCAAAAGATTTTAGGGGTAGGTTCCTTTCACAATTCTAGTTGAGAATTTGAGTTTAAAAGTGAATTTTATTTGAGAAAATACTGTAAGAAAAAAAAGTTAAATTTGAATTTTTGTGAGAAAAATATTACAGTAGTCAAAAAACTTAAGTTGTGATTCAAATTGAGAAAAAAACATATTTTCAATTATTTGGAGTCAATAATAATTTTTTAAAATTTAAGGGGTAAAAAAATATAATTTTCAAAATATTTGTCACATAAAAAACAACATTTTACCCCGTCAAATTTTCAAAAATATAAATTGACCATAAGTTTTTAAAATTTTTACAAATAGATCCTCAAAGTTTTTCACAATGTGCTCTAGTTAAAAGTTTGTTGTGTTTAATCCCATGTTTAAGCAGGAGATAGCTAAATCCCCTTTTAAAAGTTTATATGAATTGAATAAAAGTTTATCCAATCCAATCCTTTAAAATTTTTGACTAAACACCATATTAAAATTTAATCCTATCGAGTCTTTGATAATGCTGTACACTAAACGAGCCCTAAATATACATGTCTAAACAATATTCCAAAGCAGCTGGAAAAAATGTATATTTTTTTTCTGGAAAATAAAATAGTTTGAATAAAATAAATGAAAGAGGATTCTTGAAAATTCATAACAGCGCCGTAAAGAACCACAGAGATGCGATCCGATATGACGAAAAGATTTTTATTTTTCATCTTTATAATTTACATGGACGCAGTGTACATGTTCCCTATATATACGAAGATAAGGAAAAAAAAAAAAAAAAAGAGCTTTATTATTTAATTTATTTATACTTTTCGCATCTCAAAATCAAGATTTTCTTTGAGAACATCTCCAACCATAACATTAAAATGGTGTAATTAACTTTTACTTAAAACTGTAAATTCATCTCCAATTCATTGCACAATTTTTAACCTCAAAAAGAATATTTTGTGTAGATTCCTTTTTTATTTCTTTTCTTTTTTTACATTCTTTTTATATTTCCTTCTATATTTTAAATTTGGGTTTTCACTGTTCACCTCCACGCTTCCCATCAAAATGGTGTGAAAAATGGTGCTCGGTTGGAGAAAATTCTCCACGACAAACCACTTTTCAACGTCAGATAAAAAGATTGCCAAATTCTAATGCTTCTCGCTCAAGGCAATAGGCATGTATGGCCATAGTAAAACCAAATAAATTGACCGACAAAAAATAATAATAATAATAAAAATTCGGTATTTTGCTAAACGTAGTTAAAACATGAATGATTTATACCTAAATTTATAATTAGCAAAAAGATAAAAATTTTTGCATAAATTTGTTTACAATCCATGCTATTAAGACCTAAATTAAGTAAATAGATAGAAAGAGCTCAAAGATTAACAATTCACACATGATATGTATATGTGTATAATGTATGCTCTCTAATTTACTGCATCTGTATCAAATTAATTTTCTCCCATCTTAATTGTTATAAACAATACCCCCCCATTATCTATACATTATATATAACGATGAGAGAACATATATATATGTGGTTAATTAATAATGGTCTCCATCGACGAATATCTCTGATCGCCAACAGCACTCTGATCTATCTTACTATTTTATTTGATATATTCTAATTTCTGAGTAGCAGCTGGTTAGCTAGATTTCCACGTGTGTGTATATATTTCAACATGATACATGTTACGATTTCTTCTTTATTTATTTCTTTGTTTGTTTGTTTTTGTTTTTCTTTCTTCCTTCCTCTTTTGTTTTGTTTTGTTTTTGTTTTTTTTGTTTTGTTTTTTTTTTGGGCTTGCTCTAACGTACGCATGTGAATTATTCTCTGCACAAAAAAAAAAAAAAAAAAAAAAAAAGACTTGCTCAGAAAGAACATGCTCAGTTAACAAGTCCCCATGGATATTCATTTACCAAAAAAAAAAAAAAAAAGTCCCCATGGATCTTCCATGTTTATTTACTGGCCTGCTACAAGTAATTTATATATTTCTTGTTTATCACTTGCAGGATAAATTGTGCCTGACCATGCCATCTCTGCATTGTTCTAAAATGCTTTAGATCTCTTCTTGGCATGAAATTAGTGTCACCTTATCTATATTTTGATTCATATTAGTATAGCTATTGGTTATAACTACCAATAAGAGTTGATTTTGCATTTTTTTTTTCTGCTGAATAAACTGCAAATTAACTTTGAAAATATGAAAGGAATATATATTATAGAATATTAATATTGGAGTGGACTGATGATCATAACCATTTCATACTCGTATGATTTTGATTCCTTGGTATGCCAACTCTTTATATAATCTGGGACATCGTTTTTTTTTTTTGGTAAAAAAAAAAATTACAAATATGTATGAGTCATTACGGTAGATCTCGCTAAGTACCTGTTTGGCATTACTTTTAAGGGCTAGTTTTAATTTTTATTTTAGAAATTAAAACATGTTAGGATGTTTGGTAACTAAATCCTACTTTGCCAAATAGCTTCCAAAAGCTGCTGTAAAATAGTAGAATTTGAAAAACATGTCACGGGTTACTTTTTGACAGCTTCTTTTACTATCATTGCCAAAATTACTAAAATAATCTTAATAATAAAACTTAATTCTCTATTTAGTCATTTTATTTTTGCATATCAAATAAAAAATATATATTTTTAAATACTTTTTTTAAAGTTAAAAATATTTAAATTTACTATGTTAAAGTTTACTCTAATTTTTTTGTGATACAACACTAGATACTAAACTTTTGGTAATGATAAAAATGTTTAAAATAATAACAATAGATACTAAATTTAGTAATTTATTTCTAAGAAATATTTTTATATATATATTTTTAGTATTTTGGTGTAAAAATATTATGAATGTTGACCTTGAAAATAGATATGAAACTAACTATAAATACGTGTGTTAAAATTGTCTATTTTAGTCGTTATATACATTTTCAATAATTTTATACGCAGTTTAACTGCAAAACAATTAAATTTTTTATTCTGGTATTCACAACAGTTTTTTTTTTTTAAATACCAAATATCTTGATGTTTTTTATTGCAGTAATTTTGATTAACAGCACAGTAACAACAAAAAATTTATAAGGACGACAACGTCAAACTAGCCCTAAGGTAAATGGAGGAAACTTTTTTAAGTTATCAGCTATCTTGAAGACAAAGTGGGCGGATTAGTTAATGCTTTTTCACCTTCTCTTTCCTTTTGCCGCTGGAAGTTTTTAGCTTCTGACACACACGTGTACATATATACACACATATATATTATATATATATATATTATATACATATATACATACATATATAAGTTGGGACTTGTCGATTCTCTCTGTCAGTTTATTCAAATATTTATGTATATATGTATGATGTATAATGTGTGTGCTTATATAATGATCAACATGCAATGATACATCTTTCCAAATAAACAAGTTAAATATAGCCGATCAACATGGTATGTTTAGTGTGTTTTCAGAAGTTTTGGCATCGTTAAGTTCATCCTGTATCGGGTGTTTTGCTATCATCGTCTCAATCCCAGGGTGTAAGTTTGACTAAGTTTACAAGATTTAATTTAAGGCAACAAATAAGTGTTAGCTAGAATGAGAGATTTTGAAGGTATTTTATTACAAACTGAACATATATACATATATATATATATATGCTTATTATTCCGTAGAATATCAAATATGAGGTTAGAAGATGGCATTTCATTTTAACCCCATAATTAGTGGATTTTCTAATTTTTCTAGGTATGAATGTATAATTTGCTGCTTAAAGAAAAAAAAGGAAGCGTTATATATATATATGAAAACCAATCTTCTTTATCGCTGATGGCATGCATAGAATAGCATAGACAAATTAAACGTACCTATATTCCGACAGAAACCATAAGAAATATATGGAGTTTGTTACGGAAACAAAAAGAAATGGAACATATTATAAATTACCTCATATACATGATCATCCAAGTTAGTTATCTATACTATATATATATATATATATGTATGTCTATGCATGTGTGCATTAGATATATTTTAATTACTACAAGGAAAATGATCTGATCGGGGTTGGATGCTTATTACTCTTGCATGTGCGAAATGATCTCAGTAATAGGTGAGTGTTCTGTTAACTTGTTTACTGCGTAGTGGTACGTATATATATAGTTGGCATGTCCCCCTAGTTGTTAATTATGATATAATATAGTCCAATATCCATATTTAAACAATTATGAGAGAACATGGAAATATGATCTCTACTGACCAATCGCCAACAGTTTCCTTAATTATTTTATTTTACTTCTTATTTTCTTATTTTTAGTAGCTGTGCTTTTGGAGTTAAATATCCAATAGGGGACAAGCGAGATATGAGTTTTTTGTAACACAAAATATATATTAACATGTCCCCTAATTAAAAAAAAAAAAAAGAATTATTAGCATGGCATTCAATAAAAATATATAAACCCCAAAGCAGAACTCAAATTAGAAAGGACCAAGTTGTTAGTAGCATACCATATATATGGTATCTCAATCAGGCCAATCTGACATTATTGGGGAATCTCACTGGCGATGTATATATATATCATATCTTAACTCTCAACAGCAGAATCGCTCAATGTTGATTTCTGACAATTATTGGAAACTAAAATGCAAACAATGACCTTACAAATAATCATTTAATTTCAGCCTAGAACCATGTTTGGTAGTTGTTGCTGGAAAGAAGCTTTGATAATTGGATTAATTTCAATTTTTGACATTGTATTTAAATGATATTCATCAAACTTAGATGTAAAATGCATATGATTTTAAAAGAAAATAATATTTTATTTAGAGTATGGGATATGCACAATTCTGACGCAAAAATATAAATCACTAGAACAGATTGAACTTGAAGATAAGACGATGCCTATTTAACGACGTTTTATAAAACAAACATCATCTAATGTATTAAAAAAGAGGCTCAGAGGTTTTCATGTTTTGATAATGTATATGTGCATATTAGACAATGGTTCTAAAAACCATCGTCTAATGTGCTACATTAGACGACATTTTTTTTTGAAAACTGTCGTCTAATATCCTATATTAGATGATCGTTCTTACAAACCGTCGCTATTCTCTCATTCTTTATTATTCAAGCACTTTCTTTCATCTTCCTTATCTCTCATATAGAAACTCTAAGGGCCCGTTTGGTTCATGTGTTCAAACCAGTTATTCTTGATTCTGGCATTTAAAATTTAAATTTTTTGTGAGAGAAAAACACTGTAATAGAATCAAAACCATGAGTTTAAACGTATGAAACAAACGAGCCCTAAAATTTTCTCTCAAATTCCCTCTCTCTCCCTCGATCTCCTCCTCCCAATTCCCTCTCTAATTCATTCCCCTCCCAAACCTTGAAGTTCTTCCTCCTAAATTCCTTTCATCTCTTCCACGAACTTTTCACTATCTAAATCAAAACTGTCGTCTAATATGCTATATTAGACGACCGTTCTTACAAACCGTCGCTATTCTCTCATTCTTTATAATTCGAGCACTTTTTTTTATCTTTCTTATCTCTCATATAGAAACTCTAAGGGCCCGTTTGGTTTATGCGTTCAAACTAGTGATTCTTAATTCTGGTATTTAAAATTTAATTTTTTGTGAGAGAAAAACACTGTAGTAGAATCAAAACCATGAGTTTAAACGCATGAAACTCGGAGAGGGAATTCTTGATTCAGTTTGGAATATTAACAATGTTTGTAATATTAAAAATTCTTTCACAAACTTTTCACTATCTAAATCTTAGCTGTCATTACTGCGGAAAGAATTCTGTCTTTTTAATTAATAGGAGCTGGGGTTAGAATTCTGCCACTCCAGAAGATTGGTCAAATATAAACAGTAGTGAAGTAAAGAGATCAGTTGAACAAGGAACTCTCACTAGAAAAAAAACTTACCAGTAACTCATCCAACCATCCAAATTAACAATGTTTGTAATATTAAAAATAAAAAGAAAAATAAAACTAATACTGATAAAAAAAATCCCAAAAATATGATGATGATGAACTCGCAGAAGATACTGGTCAATCAATCAAATTATACTTATCTTGATCCACAGCTCGTTTATCACAAAACAAAAAAACACCCCAAAGCCTAAAAGAAAAGACATTAATATATATGTATATGAATATATATGTGTATATATATATAAATTATGACTATATATATATATATAGGAATTTTCTTAATCTCGACACTCAAATCAGTATGTGTAATTTTTTTATATGCTTATGTAGCATTATTTGTACATATGTCTAACACTTAGTGTGTTTTAGTGTAACATTTAATAAATACAGTTCAATACATATAACATTAAGGGGATGTTTGTTTCATGTATTCGTCCCTAATTTTGAATCATGATTCATGGTTCTCTACAATATTTTTCTTTTACAAAAAATACACGTAAAATGAGAATGATTTTGAATCTATAAACTAAACGTCCACTAAGTGTCACACTAGCAAATTGAATGTGTACAAAGAAACTCGCTCTAATAACCTCGCAACTTTGAGAACAACGAGAGTAAAATCTGAATCAGAATTTAAGGAGACGTTTGGTTCATAGATTAGAATCATGAGATTAGAACCATTTTCGATTTACGTCTATTTTTTATAAGAGAAAACATTATAACAAATCATGAATTATGATTCAAATCAGCTTTCGCTTACTTGTCCTAAGCCCTTACTCCACCACGAACAGTGGAGTAAGCTCTCAGACCAACCTTTCTTTAATTTTCATTTGTCTCAAAAGAATCGTGGCCTACCTTGTCACGGTAATAGAAGCAATCTTCCAATGTCAACGAATATACGAAACAAATTATGGCATCGCAGATTCAAGTTTTTAATTCGAGCTAAAATGTAACATTTTCTGAGAGCTTTTCACTGTAGTAGAAAAAGTTAGATATGACATTTTCTGAGAATTTTTTACTATAAAAATTTAAAACTGAAAATTTAAATCGGTGAAATGAACGAGATCTATATTTAAAGGACTGTATAACTGTCAGACTTAAAGCTACGCACATAGGCATAAAGAAAAACAGGTAATGATCAGCGGTTTAAGGCAAGAAAATATGTGAGGATAATTTGTCATTTTGACCGGTAGTCAAAGGAGTGTGACAAATCAGTTGGTATAAGACCCATGTTTTAAAGGCGTACATATACATTTCCCACATGCTCAATAGAAGCACTTCCCCTAAATTTCTACTTTTCAACTTGGGATTGTGCGCGATTGCTTTATCAAATTCAGTTGAATTTTTTTTTCCCCCAACCAAACTGAATAATGAATAATTGGGTTCAAGTTTATCGTCAAAGTTTTTTTTTTTCCTCTACAAAAGTCTTCCATAAATGTCTAAACCCCTGCTTAGTTCGTTTGTTTAAATTAAGTTGATTTAAACTTTTTTATTTGAGCAGAAAAATTTAAACTGTATAGCTTAAATTGTATAATTTAAAATATAGTTTGAATTAAAATTTAAATGTGTAGTTAAAGTTTAAATTTAAACAGAAAATAAAATTTATATTTATATTTAATAGGTATAAAAAATAAAGAGAATAAACATTTTTTATTATTCAAAAATAGTTTGAACTATTAAAATGAAGATGGAGTTAAACTTTAAATTTAACAATTTAACTCAATTTAAATAAAAAATATAATTCAAATTATGTATTTATTAAATATGATTTTAAACTTAATTCACAGCTTAAACTGAACTGAACTTAATCGAACTAGCTAGTAAAATAAACAGGTCATGAGACCGTTCGGCCTAAGGACATTGGCGAGTTTAGATGGGATGAAATTTAGAAGGAGGTTATCAGATCGATCCCCCATTGTATTAAAAAAAAATATTTTCCACAAATCAGAAAAAGAAACAGAAAATATAAAATCCCGTTCTACACTACAGAAAAAATAATAAAATAAACACATACGCCCAGCCCTCAAAAAATAATTTTCGAAAAGAAAAAAACATAACTAACCGCATACCCATTTCAAAGAAATCCAACGGCGTCAAATTTCCCCACCCGAATCCAACGGTTCAAATGGCAGACAAAATCTTGTTCCCGTAATTCAAATTCCCTCCCAACGGACACGATCTCTCTCTCTCTCTCTCTCTCTCTCTCTCTCTCTTCAGTTCTAGGTAACCGCTTCTGTGTCTCTACAAACCAACACTTCCACTCTCTGTTCAACTTTTTCCCCACTCTCAGACAACTTCTTCCCAAACTACTTCAATGAGCACCGCCGTACCCGATTCCGATCTCCAACTCGCCGTCTCACCACTCCACCACCACGTCGTTTCCACCGCCGCCAACAATCCCCGAAAGAAACGCTCCAAGGTAATACGGTTCGATAACCCTAAACGTACCAAATCATCCCCGTCCCCAAACGGCGCCCTTTCGGCCCGGAAACGCGATAATCGGCCGGAGATCACCATGCCGTGCACCGAGTGCGGCAAGCGGTTCTGGTCCTGGAAGGCCCTCTTCGGCCACATGCGCTGCCACCCCGAGCGCCAGTGGCGCGGCATTAATCCGCCGCCGAATCTCCTCCGCGGACGAAGCGATCTCGCTCTGATCGGGTCTTTGGCGACGGTGTTCTCCGAGGAGGAAAACGACGTCGCTGCATCGTTGCTCTTGCTCGCCAATGGCAGACCTAAATCTGCAGAAACCCTAGAGGATCAAGAGGTTGGTGATCATATTCATGATCATGATCAGTATGGACATGGCGGTTTCCGATTTGAAAGCTCGAGCTGCAAGAAGGTGTTCGGGTCGTGGCAGGCGTTGGTAGGGCAGAGGTCGAGCCACAAGAACGTCAAGGGATGCTTCGCGAACGGCGCCGTCATCGTTTCGGAGGCCGAGAAGAAGGTGTTCGCGGTGGAATTGGGATCTGGATCACATAAATGCGGGATTTGTCTGAGGATTTTCTCGAGTGGACAGGCTTTGGGTGGCCATAAGAGGTGCCATTGGGAGAAACTAGGTATTTCGGACGATCCGCCATTGTTGGGACTCAGTCAAGCTCTAAACCATTCATTAGACTTGAATTTGCCTGCGCCTCTGGAAGATGATACATTTTCTTCTTCTTCTGGGATGGCTTTGGATTTAACATTGGCTCTTTGATTATAATTCGATCTTTGCTTGGCAATATTGACTATTGGTGATAAGTACTTGTATTTCCATATAGTACTAAATATATATATATAGGATACAACAAAATACAAGCTGTGATTTGTTCATGCATATATTGTAAGGTCTCTTATGTCTACTATGAGATATATATAGTTGATTGGATGTAGGGTTCACAATTCGGGTAGCGACACGGATTGTAGGTTTATTATAAATAGGTTTGGGTCAAAATCAGGTTAAACTCGTGAAACACGATTAAATAGCGTGTCATTTTCAGGTTGACCCATCGTAATTCGTTTATTAAATATGTCATATTTAGGTAACATGAATACACAACACAATTACAACCTATTTATTACATATGCTTACAAATATATATATATATATATTAAAGAGAAACATATTGAGAAATAGGTTAACACGACCTTATTATCACTCATTTTATAAACGGTTATTAGAAACATGTTGACATGACATTATTATGACCTGTTTAATAAACGGGTTAATCATGTCGTGTCGTGTCAACTCGTCAATATACAGGTCGTGCTTGGGTTTTGTATTTCGACACGAATAATAAATGAGTCGTGTTCATATCAGGTCTTATTGTGTCAACTGAGGGAGTCAACATTATACGAACACGACACGGCAACAAAAATTACAACCCTAATTAGATGTATTATTTCACGTACAGAAAATGTACGTTTTCTAATTGGTAATATCATGAAAAATCATTACAGCAGCTTGATTGTGTGTGTCTCTTTTTTTGTCCTTTGGTTTAGTAAGTGTTGATTGCTGAGATAACTTTTCATCTTTAGGAATTTTGTTTAAGCAGATATGACGCTTTTCATACTTTCATTTAATTTGTCTAGGTCATTAGCGTAATAATGACTGAATTTGATTTCCTAGCTTACTGCAGATTTTTTTTTTCTTTTTTCTTTTTTCTTTTTTGAAACTAGTACGTGGTTGGATTATATTTTTCATAAAAAATTGTGATTGCTGAAAGTTCGAGGTTAATACATTTTTGTTTTCAATTCATGTTATCTAGCCATTACTGCTGTCATACACTTTAATACCTAGATTCATGAGGAATATGAAGATCCGACATCATGGATTGGTGTTTGTTTTCCTATGTGTCCTTATATGTATATGAGGGTGGGGGAGGGTGTGTGCCATATATATTGGTCTGAAGCTGTAAATATAGTTGACTTTGTGGGTTCTTTATCATAGGTTCAGAAAGATGCATGGAATTTTGTTCTCATCATGTTCTTGACTTAACATTAGAAAAGAAGAGTCAAAATGATGTGACTTACTGGATGTTTAGTTTACGAATTCAGAATTATTTACGGTTTATGTGTGTTTTTTGAGAGAAAACACTGTAACAAGCTGTGAATTATAATTCGAATCATGACTACAAAAGTTATGTAATTCTTATAATATATTGGTTGAACTAGATCCTACTTTGTCGTAAGATATGTCCACATTTAAATAGAGAGTTGTTATATATATATATATATATATATAAGCTGAATTTCATTACTCAATTGTAATATTAGCTAATACAAACCAGCCAACAAAATAAGGTGAAACACCTATCCAAAGAAAATGATCAAAACAAGAGCAAGCATAAACAGTAGGCTAGAAAGTTTCCTTTACGGGGGAACATAGCAACCGAAGCCACTGTTTGCTTTCAAACATTGAGATTTCGGGAGCTCTCAAAGCCGTATTGACGACATTGATTGAATCCGTCTCGACAGCCCAATTGTGAAAAACACCATCTATAAAAAAAACCAAGATTTCTCCCTTACTGCCACCCTGTTCATAGAACGTCTGGTTATAACATCACTCATATAACCAGCAAAGAGCAGATTGTTTAATTTATTATCATATGCATTTTAATTAATAAATTTGATTTTTGATACGTCCCTGCAGCTATAAATAAGTAGTTCACAATTAGCAATTCCAATAAAGAGAAATTTATTCTCGTCAAAAGTAGCTCATTAGCGACGATTACTAGCGCAAAACCTAACTTAGGTTAATGGAATTTTATCAGCTAATTAGTTATATCAGTAGACGAGCTTGCAATTATTTATTCAAAATTTTCTCGTAAATATAATTTCCATAATTAATTAAGAGCGTAACTTAGATTTTATAACAGGATTGATGTTAATATGTTAGTATGAAATCAAAAATTATTATTGAGCTTTGTTCATCAATATTGCCCAATTCCGTGTGTTTGGTTGGGGGGAATAGAAAGCAATGGAAATGAATTAAGGCATTCTCATATTTAGTTGGTTTTAGAAAAAGAAATAACCATTCAAAATGAAATGACTTTTCCATTAAATGGGTGAATCATCATTCTTTCCTCATTATTGGAGAATCAGATCACATAATCTGATTTTAGTTCAAAATTCAAATTGTAAATATTATAATTAGATATTGTAATTAGTTAAGCATTTAAATCTCCTAGATTAGATTTAGTTACTAGCTTTAAAATTCAGTTTCCAGATTCTGTTTGTAATCTATAAATACTTCTCCTAATCAATGAAAAATGATGAATCAATTTTTCATCAGAATTACCTTTCTATATGGTATTAGAGCCACACCGGTCCTTTTCTCCCCTCCCAAAACCGGCAGCCTCCTCTATCTCCTTTCTCTAATTTTCTGATCACGCTCGTCTCTGCCTTTGCACCATGGCCGACGATGCCCAGCCCCAACAACTCACCATACCTAATCCTCAAAACCCGGCCCATCCTCTTCAACTCATAAATATCTCTCACCAAAATATTGTCAAACTCACCTCCACAAATTATCTTTCCTGGAAGCTTCAAATTGAGGCTCTCCTTATTGGCTATGATCTCTTCAAATTTATTGATGGCTCTCATCCATGCACTCTGCCTACTGTCCATGCCAATAACACAGATACATCTAACCCCGACTTTCTTCCGTGGGTCCGGCAAGACAAACTCCTGTTCGGAGCCCTTGTCGGGTCCATCTCCTCACCATTGATTCCGCTTATTCAACAAGCAGCCACCACCCGCGATGCTTGGACCATATTAGCCAATACCTATGCTCACCCGTCCTGTGGCCACATCAAACAAATTAAAGACCAAATCAAGAAGGCAGTTAAAGGCTCTTAATCAATTTCTGAATATATGCAGTTCGTTAAATGTCGTTTTGACGAACTTGCGGCCCTCGGCAAATCATTGGATCATGAAGACCTCACTGAGAAAATTTTGGATGGCCTCGATGATGATTATCGGACGATCGTCGATATTGTTGCAGGTAGGGATACTCCCATCACGTTTGATGAACTCCACGAAAAACTGATCAATCGGGAATTATCCCTATGCCAGTCTCAGTCCAGGTCCTCCCCTCTGCCTGTCACGGCCAATGTTGCTGCCACCCGGTTCCATGGGAATAACCGGAATTACACCTCTCGGAAAAACTCGTCGCCCGCAACACAGCCATTTTCTCAATCCAATGCACCATCTTCTGGCACCTCACAACAGCGCCCGCAACACCCGTTTCTTGGCAAGTGCCAGGGCTGCCGCGCTTAGGGCCACGTGGTCTCCCAGTGTCCATTGTTTCAACTTATTCCAGCATCAAATACACCACAGGTAGCGTCCTGATCTTCAAATCCGTCCTGGCAGTCTTAGCCACACTCCCAGCAGTGGCAATCGAAGGCCAACATGGCCACTGCTCAGGCATCCGAAACTCCGACCTGGCTCCTTGACAGCGGTGCAACCCATCATGTCACAACGGATCTCAACAATTTATCATTATAAGATAATATAATATAATATAAAATAGTTGTGATATTGTAATTAATAATTGTAATAAAATTGAGATAATAGTATTTTCTATAAAATTAAATATAATAATTATATACTTTATAAATAATAATATAATATAATATTATATTATGTTATATTATATTATAGGATATAAAATATAAATTTATATTATAATAATTAAAAATGATAATATACTATATTATATATTATAATTATAATATGTTATATTATATTATATTATATTATTACATTTTTATAATTATACTATATTTTTAATAATATAAAATAATCACAATATCATTGTATTATTATATTATATATTATGATTGTATTATAATAATAAATGATTATGTAACTATAATTATAATTATATATATTATATCTTTATAATTTTATATATATAATATTAGTTATTAAATGATTATATTAATATATATGATATTAGTTATATTAACATGAGGGATAATTTTGTTAACATGAAAATATTCATATCTCATTCCATTGCATTTGTAAAAATAGAACCAAACAAATAAATTATCTTTCATTTCCATTCTCATTTCCATTACCATTACTATTTCCCACTATAGCCAAACGCACCCTAAGATTTAACCCTTCTCTGTAACATTCATAAGTATAGTTGATCTATTGGCACACTTCTCTTAACTCTCCACATGTTAAGGTATAAATTTATTGTTCGCCCACCTCCTAATAGCTTAAGCTTTTGGGATGGATTGGTAAACTAACATAGTATTAGAACGGGTGGTCTTGAGTTCAAACCCTCATAATTGCACTCTTTATCTTCATTTAAATTGTTATCACGTGTTAGGTCTTTAATATGTTTCGGGCTTATTATCAAATATTCACGTGTTGCGCTTTCCAATCAATTTACCTACATGATTGCCTATTATCTAGCCTACACGTGAGGGGGAGTGTTAAAGTATATAGAAAAAATGGAGAATTTATCTTTGAGCGTGTATGAGTTCAGAGCATTACCCCTTTTTCTTGATAAATACTTTTTTGTTAATGTAATTATTTGACTAAAATGGTTATAAATCAAGAGTAAAGTGTAAAAATTCTGACTCATACACTTTTAAGGGGTATTTGTCAAGATTATCTGCCCCGTTCATTTCGCTAATTCGAGTTTAGAATTCGAGTTTTTCTACAGTAAAAAGCTCTCACAAACAATCACATCTAATTTTT